GATTACCGCAAAGGAATGCCGTTATGGATATTCCAATCATCCATTTTGGCTTGCAATCACCATATTTCAAAATCCAACTTTTAAAATACGAATGAGCCATGACAAACGCGTTATTTTCAGAAGTAAACAGTATTATGGAATTAACGTAGGCTAGAGGAATCAAAACCTCAACAGAGGCCTGTGCTTCGTGAGTTTATGACAGGAACGTACAGTATCTTACTTCAGATTGAGTGACAAATGTCCTTATGACCGGCATGTTTAATATTGAAAATGAGGAGATTTCCCCTAACAGTGTGAGCTGATACCGTATTGCAGAGTAACAGCTTAAAACATCTGCCTGAAGATACGAATGAATCAGTACAAAGTCCTTCTAAAGTTACCATTCCAGCTACTATTAGCGGTTTCAGATTGTCATAAAAAAAATAATTCCAAAGGTTGCTTCTACCTTTTCACAGCGCCGACCAACCAGGCCCACTCTAGAAACCGATTTTGCATGTAAAAAGAATAAGCTCTTAAGTCCCTACTGGTTTTACCATCATAGATGTGTGGGACCCCATTCATGCAATAACAGCCCCCGCCCCCACCTTGTACACCAGTAACAAACTTCTTCCGTAACGGCGTGAATTTTTGCGTATTCTGGAATAACTCGGTGCGCTAAAGAACCAACAATTAGAGAAGACCTAAGATAATACTGATGGTTGGACAAAGTGAGCTCAACTGCAATAGACCCAGCAACTAAGTTCGTTTCAAACAATGCGTTAAACGCTATCAACAACGAAATTTGACTTAGTCACTATTTCAACAATTTTAAATCAGCAGAAACTAGAAGGGTTTTGCACCGAAGAGATTCAAACAAACTGAAGTTGTACGGGGAGACGATTAAAACGCACAACTTCCTGCAAGGTGTTGAAACCGGTTTCTGCGGTAGCTTTAAGCTGTTGCAAAAACTCCCTGACAGTTCATGTGGATTCATTAAGGTACATCTTGAAACTGAAAACAAACGAATTTGATTCGAGCACTGGCACTCTCATCCGTCCGCTAGATTTGGCGAAAAACTCACAAGTGTCGGAAATAGCAGCAGAACTGGTAGATATCTTCTTGAAGCGCTGTCTCTCCACTCGGTAGAAGTCTCCAGGCTTACCCTCCAAATGAATGTCGGGTTCAAATGCGGAGGTGCGCTGAGATGTAGTAGTAGCAATTGAGTTTACCATTGAAAACTGCTGTTGCTGTTGCTGTTGAAGGACCTTGAGCAACAGCTCACCTTGTACCGCCTTGCCCGCACTTGCGACAAAGTGATGCAGAGAGGAAAGTGTGTTGCTTGTCTGGATGCTAGCTGTACAGTCCTCATCTTCGTTCCCTATACTCACTTCCACCTCTGCCATCGTAGTCTCCTCCAGCCCCGAGGCGGAGGGATGAGGGATGTAGGAGGAAGATGCAGAGGTGCTGCCTTCTGCAAGCGGGATAGACTCCCAGATGGAGTTCAAAAGACGCAGCACCTCATAGTCGAGTTTCTTAGCTCCTCCAAAAATGGGAGAAAAAGGAGAAATCATTTATACAACAGCACTCAGGGACGGAATCCCGTTCAAACAGAACAGTCGTAACAAAAATAAATTCACCTGCTTCCTTAACTGAATGATGACTTCATCAACACCCAAATCGAATAATGAATGAGTATGCATTAGGAGTTAACTTACGCACTACGACTCTAAATTTTTGTGAACCTAAGGCCTGGGTCTCCGTACCTCTCAAATAAAACAAACAAAGGAGACGGAAGCAACATCTGAGGTAGCATGATTGATAAACAGAGGGCATTCATTTTAAACCGCCACCATGGGGATATCATAAAAAGTAGTAAGTACCAAGTAGTATACTTTATTGTAATTACTAATAGCCAGCACAATGTCCTGGGGTAATCCCATTGCCGTTAAGATGGTGAAAATGTGCAACTGCAAAAGCAGTGTGTTTTAAGGAAAAAATTTCCGTGTCATCAAAGGGGTACACCCTGGACTCGCCAGCACTAACACATATTTATAGAAGACCTCTGGCACAGTACAGTGCAGTGGTGGAACGTCCAGCTGTAGGACAATAAAAGAGCACGTACATTTCAAAACAGTAGTAAGCCCGTAAGTCAATGACGATCCCAGCCTTAGTAATCCCACACCCTCAAAAATTCCTTTGGTGCCCTATTACGAGCATAAAGTCCATTTAGTCAATCTTTATAATTGGATGAAGCGTTCAAACCTCTGCGATTCACCGCAATCACTTCCCATAGAACCAGGTTCTCATATCACTTCGCGTAGATGGACCAATGTAATTCAACAGCATTAAAACAAACGCATTCGATTGCCCGTACCAGGCTTATAAAGAGGACATCGTTCCCATAAATGCTTGAGGCTGTATCTTATGATTAATAATAACTATTCTCAATGTTTGCTCGCATAAGAAACAGAGTAAGTCTTATCTCTTCACTGGGTGAAACGGACATTGACTGGACAAAGTACTCATCGATAAAATGAAACAGGAACTAAAGGTAAATTGAAGCCTTCAATTCGTTCAATCCAAAAAATACAGGTGCACGTGTAAACAGGCATATCCATGTAAAGAGGGGTACTATTTGAGCAAGGCATCCCAATTACAGAAAACTCACCAGTTTCATAAAAGACGAGATTAGTTTTTAAAATGCTAAGAGTACTTGGGACGCCTGCAACCCCAAAAATACGTTCCTGTTCAATTTTCCAGAAGTTTCAATTAATCAGTGACGTCCAAAAATTTTACGAAGTCGTGATCTTGCTCACCTCTGCCTAATTGATTTGCATCCAGTAGAGGCGCGCTCTAATTGTACTGATAACTGCTTGAATGTCAGTTACTATAGCTTATGTAACTTAAGAAAAGAGAAAAACACTCAAAGACAGACTCAATCACCGGCATTCTCCGCTACGTAACCACAAAGCACATAAACGCTGACTGTACCATTTTTGCCTGCCCATTACGTCGGCCAATAAAGACATCTGCTCTGAAGTCATTATCTATCGCTTATTAGGGTGGAGGCCTCGATTGGATCTGGGATCTCAGGCATAGAAACTTCAATACAAAAAATCACCAACCTGGTTTAATAACAAATAGCAAATGCAATACTTTTTGTGGCGTCAATGTAAAAAAAGGCGACAGAGACATGAGATTAAGAAAATGCGGGCATTATTAGTGTGAAACGTCGGATTTGGGGGTGGAAACAAATGGCAGTGGATACGACAGCTTATCACAGAGGGAACCAATACAAACTGACAGGCTAGGTAGGCATCGTCTCAAGATTAACTCGAACGGTGGAGAGGTGATGCAGGTGCAATATTCTAGGTCTAATACACGTTTACTGCTTAAAAAGCAGGTGAAGCTACGCCTTGACGTTCTGTACGATTTTTTATTTGAGCACGCCCCTAATCTATTCTACAAAAATGTCAATGTGAGAAAAGGTAAAAAATACAGAATTGGTGACAAGAAAGTGGAAATTTGATTTAGGTGAGGATTTCTTTAATCCCATTTTAGACAATCTAAAAGAAAACTGTTCAATGAAACACGACAAACTCCGTCCACTTTCAATGGAATTTCATTTGTGCGGATCAGAATGGCAACGGGAAACACGAAAAGAAGTAATTCCAGAGATAAGGTCCAGTGGGATTATCAAGGCAAAATCAATGCAAATGTTTTAAGTACAAAGGAAAGGAGGAAACCTCATAACAGAACACCCAGATCCTTAACAACGCAACGGAGGGAAATAAAATCCAGTTAAAGCTAAAGTAACTAACAAAGTTGTAGGAAGTTTGTAATTTCACCAAAAAATGCAGGTCTAACGCAACCTTGTAAAAGTTGTTAGTACCGTAAATAGCTGACAGACTGATACTCGCATTTTTAATTCCTTGCTGGTTATTCAAATTGATAATTGCCAAACAATTTTAAATACCGACTGGCAGTTGGTGGCTTGCACGCCTGGCTACAAGTTTTATATTTGGTGCTTTGTAGTTACTGCATCATTTATAAACGCGATTCTCCACCTAGAATATCTTGCTCCTCGCTTCCGTAATCAGACCGATCAAAAGGCATTGAATGAATAGTGGCAGACGGCATTCACTAGAACTAAGGTAAAGAACTAAGAGGTTGAAACAATAAAGAATTCTCAAGAGCGCGTTTCTCAATTAAGATCAACGTCAAAATAGCAAAAATGAAATGCCTAGACACAGCGTGAAGCTATTGCCATAAACAAATATACACTTTGAAATACCAGATTTAGCTTTAATTCTTATTTATTAGTAAAAATAAGAGCAATAACTCAAAGCTCTCGATCAGATTTACACAAAAGTGAACCTTAAATTATTGAACCTAGAGACCACAATCCCGGCTGATTCTGCTAAAAGTAATGCTTGATTGTATGGAGAAAAAACTTCGATAGAGAAGGTGGAAAATAACAGATTTCTGGAGATAAAAAGAAAGTGCCAGGCAAAGAACGTTTTTAAATGAGATATTGGTTCAGGACAAAGTAGGACGGAGAAATACAGATTAACGTTAAGCAGCCTTGGTCAAGGAAAATCGGAGGCAATGGAAAGTGGGGCGAGATGAAGTGTGTGTAACTATCATGTGGTGCAACGAGATATCCTAATGATATAATTTAAGGATCTGTAAAAACAGTCCCTTTCATTGATCCTAACAAACACGACAGTGAAGTTAGCATACGTGGAAGAGAAAATTCACCAAAGATGCGTATTTATCTGAACCATATTTAGCCGAAACCTGGAGTGGTTTTGGATAAACTACCCAGCTAAAGTTAACGAAAGTGTTTATACAAAAAAGTAGGAAAATTCATACGTTGGTGATAATTTTACCTGGTACCGCGGCCATACAAGTGACAATAGAGCGTCTTAGAAAAAAGGAGTCCACGTAGCGAGAGGGTGCATTGGCATCCACCACCACCACCTGACTGCATAATGACGGTTTGGAGTCTACAGCGCTCGAGGCGACCACCTCAGCACTGCTGTTAGTGGTGGTGAGGGTGGCGGTGTCGGACACACCCACGAGACACGTCCAGAGCTGACTGGAAAGGTTCTGTACCAACAGATGTAAGTGGGGAGAGCCATCATTAGTATGGTCTTATCCGAGCCCGGATGACACACGTATGTAGTGTTTGTTATTAGTTTAAGTGATTGTAAGCAGATTAATTGAGCTTCAGATAGTTAGAGGACAATCACATGTTTCTAGCTTTTGAAGGGCAGTTGAATCGGACATTTCGGTAGCATTGGTGTCACAGTAGTAAAATGAAGCATACGTGGTGGTAGACTTTTGTAAGCCTATGGTAGCAAAAATGGCACACAGGAAACATCCGATGCATGTCGATAGTTGAAATGAATCTGTAAAGATTAAGATTTACTGTTCCTCTTCTGTTTCGACTAGTGCGAGGATGCACCATGATCAACATCTCACTAAGGGAATTAATATCTCTCTTGACATTTCTACCCGACATTGTTGAGATTTTGTAATTTTGAGTCTAAGGTCGTTACTTTTGCCAGTGTCTTGCTTAAAGCAATGGAACAACAATGATGCAATAGGCCGCTCAAAAAATTTCCACCAAGAAGGTAGTGGTTGGGAGGAAATGAACCAAAAACCGCAAACATTGGCAATTTACGCAATTTAGAAATAGACAACCAATCTGAAAGTATCGAAGAGATAATAATTAATATGGGATCACTACCACAATTTTGCCTTTTAAAAACAGATGGATCGTACTCTTGAAACCCCAGAACTACGCCTTAGTAGCGGGAGCTTTGACCTTTGGAAAAAAACGAAACTACAAAAATCAACAAAAAGAACTTTGCATTCTGAGATCATCCAACTGGAAAAATTGGTTTCAATAACCGACTTTAACCTTGAGAAAAGTCAGCAGTGTGGAAGACTTGGGGTACGGATGGATAACTGACTACTTTGTAGTGACCAGTTAGCCACTAAAGCAGGCCTTCCGATTCCCCTTGAATCGCCTTTCACGATAGCAGCATGAAGCCCGCCTACGCTACGATTGCCAATGTATGCTAATAATAAAGCCACGCTAGGCCTCATAGGCGCTGGTGCTAAAGTGACCTACGGAATTGATTGTCTGTGTACAATGGCTAAGGAACAGAATTCGGCCGCGGTGGCACTTTATTTCGTTAGAGACGCCACATAAGGTGCGTTTACACAGGACAAAACTGCCAAAGATCTACGTTCGTTTTGATTGCACCATCGCACTAGTCACACACGACCTCGATCATAAATGTTCGGTTCCGCAGTGCCTTAAATGAACAAAAGGATATCACAATGGTTAAATGATGATACGAACCAACTTTTGCGGCGTAATTTCTTCTGCCCTTAAAAGGAGCGGTGTAGATAAACACTTTCAAAAGACAGTAGCTTCAAGAAGTATCCGATATTATGAGATTATCTGCTCAGAAAACCTAGGAAAACAAGGCAGTAAGGCGACATCTTTGGCAAAATTGAATAAAGAAGTTTTAAAATAAACTAACCTACATTAACTGACTTTGTCTAAATCCCAAATGGTTTATTATTTCTTCTAAAATACCTTCAAACTCTCGAAACCTGTCAAAATGACCTGAGAAATTACCAGTCGCACTTCCCATACAGAAGAACAAATCAATCTGTAAAGCATAAAAATCAACTAGAAAATCAAACCTAATATGCTCAAAAGATAAAAAAATGGCAGTTACTCTTCGGTATGATCAATACGACAGTCTGCGACAGCGGAAGTAGGGAACACCGTCACAACAGGACAAACGGCAGCTCGGCTAATAGGGCTATGTTCTAATTTTGTCTATAAGAAATTTTGACAGCCAGAGGCACTCAGACAACATACAAAGCGCGGTAGACTATGCTTAACATCTTCAAGGCCCAGTAAAGAGCATCACTGAATTCGCTGAAGCTTTAGGGACGGCTTATGTTACAATAGACCAATCAGGTTTCACCTGAATAAGACCATTAAGAAAGGCGCCAATAAAACTGCACCCAGTGTTTTAAAACAGACCCTTCTTTAGGTACCGCACCACAGCCAGTGAAACGAAGCAAGATCTGGACCGAACGATTTGAAACAATTCAGGCGAAAAGCTGCTCCATAATACTACATTCTGGTGCCTCCGTACTTTGCAAAAGGCTGAGTCCAAATCAGATGACAAATAAGCAAAAAAATGACGAAAAGAGACAATATAAGCGTGAAATTCCTTAAAAAGTAATAGAGCTGCATCTAATTTGCGCTGTGTGATCAAAAACCAGAATTTACTGAAAATAAGCAAGAAATGATTGCCTAAAATACGTTATAATTGGCAATTTTCCTATGCTCTTCCGCGGCATTTTCGTTCGGTTTAAGACGAATATGAAGTTGGAATCGTGACGACAAACTCGAAAAAACAGTATTTTTGAAACAATAAAACACACCCTCCCCCTCCACCTCACTAAAGCAGGCATAGCAAGCATGGCAGTAACTCAGCCATCAGTTTTAACCAATCCAATCCAATTTGGTCGAAAATAGGAACACGATCAAGTCGGATTTATCTTGACCACTATGATCAAAAAGGAGAACCACTCACCTCACCAATAGAGCTTTGAGTAGGGACAGTTGCCGTGGGGGTGAAGAAGAGGCTTCGCCCAGCCAGCAGTTCGCCCGAGGGAAGCAAGGCCCCGATGTCCGAGAAGAGACACGTGACGCAAGTCAACTGGCGGTGGCAGCAAAATAAACTAAGTCGGTTCATAACATTATTCATTGTGTAAAACAATGTACTACTTGTAAAGAAGGGTTTATAGGGTAAGTAATGTGCACCAGCTACCCACATAACGACAAAAGCAAGACCCTATTAAATCATGTCATTTGCAGTGCTGCGACTGCTTTTTTTAGCAATACTGCAGTCAACATCCATAAACTGAAGACGGTTGCAGGGCCCTGGACAAAAGAAATACCAAAGGATTACCTTAAATGCTTCCAAAAAGTTGCTTTCTCATTCAATCCCTCCAAACCTCTTAGTTCGCCTAGTTTAAATCCGTTAACCTGCTCGGAAAACTACTAAATTCCTCAGGAATTCATGATCAAAGTGGATGAGTGCTGCTGAAAAAAACGGACGTGGTCATTTTGGAAGCTCCTCGTTTGGACGTTTCGCTATGATGCTGACACCTTCAATGTATCCGTCAGCGGAGAGCAAGAGGATCGGGAGGTAAATACTCACCTTTAGCGACGAATAATAAGTCTCACGTGGTTAGACAGCCACATAAGTACCATCATTAGCACGTGATGCTGCACCACGCTGATGGATGATGGATGCAAATGACTTTTGTGAATCGGTGTTTAATTTTTAGTCTCCAAATGAAAGCGAAAGTAATTTTTCAGCTGCAAATAAATGTTTCAGTGCTCTAACATTCACCTTCACAAAACAACTTTCATTGCACTCACCACTGGATGCCCAAATGGGAACTAAAAAATTAGAAAAAGTGCATTTTTGTTATCATGATAGGTCTTTTGAAAAATTAGCTCAAGTGTATTTATTTACCCCATGGATTGAAAACTATTAACAGAGACAAAGAACATAAAACAGAAGCACCAAATTATTATGCAGATAAATAATGAAAACAAAGCGACTTTTTAAGCCATTTTTCCTACTTGCTGAATCCACTTCACTGCACTGCCCGGCATTTTTTTGGTATAATACATGGATATGAGCTGACAACCAGCCTATTTGCAAACAGATGCTGCAACGTTGAGTTCAGTTAGGTCCATTTTTCAAATGACTACAATGATTGACGGCAACATTGGTTACCGTTTCCCAATGCGAATGAAAATTGCTGGTGTCAGGTAATGGGCACACGCTTGCTGAGAGTGCACGAAACGCGCGAGAGGAAGACAATCCTAACCCCAAGAAAAAGATAAACTAAGGAAACGAGTTAAGAATACAAACAGTAATTCTTTTTAGAGGTACCGGCCACTAAAATGTATTACCGGTATTCCCGTTTGTGCGAATGTTTTTGGTACTTCTCAATAACTACCGGCGTTTTGTATCTAAAGAGACAATTTTTCAAGCAATCATACAGGCTCCTCAAATTCCGCTGCATAAACCCAAGCCTATCAATACCGTCCTCGGGCGTGCTCATGGCATCCTAGCCCTTCTGTACGACAGCAAATGAGCCTTCCATACCGATGTGATTCAATGAGGACTGCAGAGGGAGTCCTGGATGCCACCAGTCCTAACTTTCGTGACTAGCTGAATAATGCAGTAGGAAAGGGAAAGGTTAGAATTCACCAATTCCTGCTAAATAGCGAGGGCCGCGTAATGTGACAGCACATGATAATAGAGTGGCAGGGATTTCGATAACACCAACTTCAATTCAGTTAGATTAGGTCCACTTTGCAAACGACTGCTTTTCAGTGATATTTTTGTGGTACGGTTGAAGCGTTTTGTCTTTTACTATAAACTTTACACTGGGCGTCTTTATTGCTCAGCATGTTTCCCCATAAAAGAGGCAACAATCAGTTAACGATGGTTGGGAAAAGTGGGGGTTTTTTTGAACGGTATCAAAAATGAAGAGGAGTGGCACACGTGGGCGTAAGTAGTCGTCATTACCCCCCAGCTAGTCCCTAAACAATTGCGTGGACTTGACTACAATGAATATTTGAGGTGCTAAAAGGCAGTCAGTCACTTTATAATTTGAGGTGAAAGCAAAGCAAGTGACACTGGTGCCTGCGCTAGACAACTTAGAAAATAGAAGGGCAGCTTCGTGAACAAGGCAGCTCGATAGGCAAATAAAAGACGACAGACTAGGAATACAACGAGAGGGGCAGAATATCAAAAGGATAGATAACCAAAAACAAAGGGAGGGTGAGCCAAAGACCGTGAGACCAAACAAGGCAAAATCAAAACAGGTAGAAGATATTAATATCGGAATGAAACAGAACGTTTAAAGACAACTTAGACAGGTAACCAAAGATAGATAGCTGAAGTCAGATAGGAAAAAAAACTAACGGGATTTGGAGAAAAATAATCAAGTACAGGAAATGTAGATGATGGTAGGTGGGGTAAAGAGCTTAGAAATCAGGACAGCATTTTCAAATACAGACAGGCCACAAGCTAGAGAGATCGCTATTCGATAAAAAATATAATGGTACAGGCAAGTATAAACAATTAGAAGCTAGGATGGTTCAAGATGAAAGCAGAGAGCAAAGTAAGCAGAACCTTTCATTAGAAGTGGATGTATATCAAAAAGTGGGCAGGAAAATGATCAGTTAGCAAGATACACGGATAAATGCAGGTAGAAACAGGTAAATGGAATGTTTGAAAAGTGACGTTGGAGATATATAAGACAAACTGTTCAAGGGGTAGGCAAAAAAGCATGCAGCTAGAAATATAGGTAGGAAAGCTGTGAGACAGTCAGAAAGACATCTGGACGGTATAACTAGAAATAGGGACAGAAGAGTGAAGTGACGGTATAGGGCAAGAGGATGAAACCTGTTTTGATGGGGCATTTTACTAAGCAGGCCCCCTAATCTACTCCACTTTGGTTTTGATCGCGATGTTGTGACACTGTATTCACATCCTTAACCTTACAATCTTTCCTCACGTTAGTGATGAACCTTCTCCCATAATTCTGCATATTACAACGTCTTCAGAATCAACTGTAAGTACTACAATATGTGAGGGTGAAAACTGGGCTGAGGGGTTGCAAAAAGAGGGTATTGAGGACAAGAGGACGACATCTTGACAGGTAGGTTGGAAAACAAATAGATGTTGAAAATTAATCAGAAATTGAAAGGACTCAGATAGAGACAGGGGTGGGTGAAGTGCACCTTTGAAGATAGCAGAGTTATGCATGAAGATGAAGAGCTAGGGCAATAAACAGTGAGATTATGAAACCAAGTTACCCGCATTTGACCAGACAGCGCCTCTGAAAAGGGTCGTCGGTAGAGAAGCTGAGGTAGAGGTGGGAGGGGAGGAGGACGCAGAGAAGGAGACGAATGGTTGGATTTGGCAGCCTCCGAGGCTCGTCGAACAGAGGCGCTCTGCATTACTACGGGCTCCGGCGCACAGGGCTTCGGAGTGATTGGTAGGGGGAGCCACCAAGACTCGCTGCTGCAGGCTGCCTTGACAGCGTTACTAAAGAATGAGGATGAGCCAGTGGGTTGTTAGAGATGAATAATTCAACCGGACGAATAAGTAACTGTTTTGGGTACAAAGAAGGCTCTATTTGTTAAAAAATATTGAATGGGTTCTGAATAAATAGGGTTTTGTTGGTTGCACTACTGCTGGTGGCAGTTAGATACTTATCGGGGTGTTTAAGGGGTGCTGAGAGTGACTAGACTGACACTAATGACTGGTAAATTACTGATAGATCAAAATACGCGGAATGCTTTGATAAATAACCAAAAGTTTGTGCACCGTAGGCAAATTCATACGATCGTTAGCCCTAGAAGTATGAAAGAGCTGAAAACTACCCTTGATGGCAGTCAGAAAGTAGTTTGATCAAATTGCATAATAGTTAATAAAAGCGATAATGTTAGATTCTGAATGACCAGGAAAGCTTCATGAACTAGAATGCTTGCAATTGCAGTACAGTGATTAAAAAGGCGTTCAATCAAATACCATAATGCTAACGGTTCCCTACAGATTCGGTGGACAAACCGATCTACTGATTTGATTCAAATGCCTCAGGAACAGCTCAACACAACACCACGTCTCCCTTTATCATCTAACCATTCACACAAGAAATTAATAGTTAAATGAAAATGGTTTTATTGGCCAAACCTTCAGCTAGATGAATGTCAGCATGATCAAAAATAGTGGGCATGACTAAATCCTCGGCAGATTCAAGTTAGCGATTCGTCTCAGATAATGAACAAATGTAATACGTGTTTAGTTGAATATACCTGTTAGAAGGCAAGTAGGTAGATCGAAATAGCCTTGTAAAACTTCTAGATGAATGGTTAATTAAATGATTTTGATGGTTGATGAATGCCTCCTCTAAAGACCCAAAACGTTAAATAGACCAAATCGGATATCTCAATGACCAGTCACTATCGACAAACCAGGCACAAGTAGAAACGATTAATCGCCTTCACTGTCGAAACCGGCATCAAACGTGCATCCCGAATAACATCCGCAGCTTGTAAAAAAGACACCATCTCCAAACCTTAACAAAACAACATCATTTTCAGTTGTATGAGATTGATGAATAGGTATAGGAAGTTTTTAATACTATAAAAGCTTTTCAGAATATTGCATTTGATGAAATAATTGTCAGTAGAATCGACCAGCATTTCTTAACACAAGATTGTTACTAAATTCACTATCAGAAAATAATTTGCCGCTAGAAACGAAGATAAATTCCAGCCCTACCTATCTTCGTTTTTATCTCACTTGCATTTTTCAAATGTACATTATGTTTCACTTCTGATTATCCAGTGGCAATGCCAAGAAAATGTGACGTCTATCACTTGGAGCCCGGAGAAGTATGAGGGGAATACAGAGGATGACGAGCACAAAACTTTTCACGAACAAGTTTTCAATGGCGATACATAATTCTCCGTCATGAAGTAACGTATCACTAGAATTCACTTTCTTACCCTTTGGGCGGTAAGTGGTTCTGCCACTATAGGCCGCACCTACTCCACATGCTATACAAAAAATTTTAATGGAAATTATTGCAGCATAGAAGCTAATTAAACCCATTTCGTAAAATAGACAAACACAAACCCGTTTAAACCAGGCCCAATCGCTATCCTGTAGAAACAAACACCATATCGATAGGCTGACGCATTTCTATGCATTTCAACGATACATATAAACAACTACATACAATCCAAAAGTCTACAGAAGACACCAAGCTACTGAGGTGAAAAGTGCACGAACTTTTTAAATAAGCTGATCTATAACTTCGTTGGCTTTTCAGTTACCAACATTTCCGTTTCTATGGTGGTAAGTAGAATGAGGGTCCTTCTATGTGTTGATAGTAAAGCTAGCTATAGACTCGTGTGTCGCATCTTCAGCAAACAAACCGAACGCACTGACTTGAAGATTTTCATGTAAGAAAAGGATATGCCAGGATTTTTAAGGAAATTTTACTCACTTATTTCTGCTTGATGTCAACCCTGCGACTTCAGCATCGAACAAGCGCCCCTCGCCGAAGTCCATCGAAATGCCCGACGTTGAGGTATCAAAGGACACCGTCGGTGCGGATCTTCGACCGTGGCGTTGGAAGAGACGCGAAAAACTAATTAAAGAGAAGACATCTATGCTAAATGGGATATTCTTAATTACCGCAACTGGAAGAGGATGCCTGTCCCACAAAGTCACACTTACTGTGATTAATTTTATGATTATTATCATCTTCACAAACAGGCCTTTGAGTTATTGGATTCATGATGTTTCGAACGCCAGTTCTAAAGTGAAACCTCAACTGGCACAGTAGTTTATGCTTAATTGCAATTAATTGGGAAGCTGCCTTTTGACCGGCCACTTTGTTTTCCCGAACAATGGTGAGCTAGAAACTGAGGCCGTAGAACGAAACTTACGTTACCGGCATAATTATGAATAAGCAACAAGACTTTAAATGAAAACTCCGTTGAGTCAGTTCATCGAACTCTATTGCGGAAATTAAAGAAGCGAACAGTTTCTGATTGCACTAATTTGTGACTGATGTTTAACAAATGTAAATGAAATACGTCCTTTTTACTGGGCAAGTTGCCAATAAGAACACTTGAAACGCGAAAATTAAAGCCAGACGAAAGGGTAAAAACTTTTGCCTTCGCTCCTCATAAACAGAGCCATCAGCTAATAAGAGCTTAGCAAAAGTACACTTTGGCTTGCTACTCTTTCGACCAACATTTTTGGTTAGGGCAATTCACATGACACCAAGAAAGACGCGGTTCATTTTTAAGCGCGACGTTTACCTTCTTTTAATTTATAGAACAAATTTTCGTGCCCAAATAACTAAAAGTTTATTGAACTTGAGTCTTTGTACTTCAAATGAAGACTAAATCGTTTTTTAACTCGCGAAAAAACCATTTGCTTAATGTTTAAAAATACGGCTTTGTAATTTTAATTCAACGACTTCGTTTCTCTAGTCAGACTAAGCACAATACGAGGTGAATACAGAGGTCTGAGTTTACTCAATTGGTTCTCAAAAACAAACGATTTAACCTCAGCATTCGGGCCCAAGCCCAGCATCAAATTGAACTTTTCAAAACCTACGTACCAAAGGTATTATCCTTTTTGGCAAGAAATGACCTTACGGCCTGCGTACAAAAAATTTGACGGTCAATACCTCGCCATCCCGCATCTTTTGATTACCCTTGGTTTTGGTTGCTATGCCACTGTACCACCACTACATCGAAGACGCATTTCGTTTTGCGATTGTATTTCAGATCATAGACGCCTCCTTGTAAATTCATGAATGTATTCCGAAGCGCATTATTTGCATGATATTCATAAAGAAAATAAAGCAGTGCAGACAACTTAAAACACCTGTGGAAGAAGTCCTTACATTAACTACATCAACGCAATTAGTTGATACTTAAAGGTTGTTGAACATGAGCTGTCTACGTGGTTCAATTATGATCTAAGCGGGTACAACAAATGCGCATGAATTAGTAGCCGAATGACATGACTACTAGTTCAAAACAGTTAAAGTATTTAAAGCAGAGCTACGTTAAAGGAGCAAGTTAGTCAACTAGACGGATTCTACTCAATTTAAACAAGTGAATGCCAGGAGTGGAGTCCATAATTTAGAAGCTTGCAGTTCTTTTTGCTACAGTATGAAAGTGATTGAATTTCAGTGAGATTCCACTACGACGCGCACTTGGAAATGTAGTTATAAAGAACCTTTTTATCGGTCAAAAATAGCGATAGCAGGACAAGAGACTAGAACCTGGTCCCTTTCCTGGTAAATAGACATGAAACGCGAAAACGAAGTCTAGTAAACATATGCTTTTCTTTGTGATTTCCTTGGATTTTTTTTGCGGTGACAGTGATTTACAAGCTGATGAGAACATTCGCTTTATCATCAAGAATGAAATTTGCCGTAAAAATATGACAGGAGTACAAACGGCTCAAAACCTGAGCGTGGAGATATGCTACAGTAAATGTACGAGAAATCAAACCAAGTGCATGAAACATTGAGATGAAGGCAATCATTAAGGAAGCACCAAAACTTGCCAAAAATTGGGCAGGCTTAAAATTGCAAGAGTTGGATCATTTAGGGCAAATCTGCCGAACATGAAGGCGGGTAACTGAAACGCTTCAGAGCTTATACTTCTTTTAAAAAGCAACATTAGCATACTCACTGTTAGCATCACGTATACGTAATGCATCAACTTTCTTATTCGAGCCCAAACGTCGCAAATTTGCCCCTACTTAATCTGCAATGACCATGGTTGCCCCAAAGCATCGCAAAGTATTTCAGTTTAAAACGTTTAACCAAAAGCAGGATGCTCTTAATCTACGGAGAATCATCCCGCTTTTTACATTTTGAGCGACGGACAAACTAACCAGTTCGATAGTGCAAGTGTAGATGTCATAGTAAAACAACAATCGAGCTGTGGCTCTGGCTGTGACAGCATTAGGCCAAAATGCAAAATTATACACAAAACATCCAAAGGCGCTCGTTCAGCAACTCAGTACTGACAAAAGTTTCATTATCACTAATTGATCAATCACAGTAAGAAGCTAGCTCGCACAAAAACCAAAAAATTCAACTAACTTGATATTTTGACAAAATATTAGCCCGTCAAAAAGCATTAACAACTAAGCTTACGAAAAGAAAGAGTACCCGAGGCACTTACAAGATCATGAATCGGTTGCTGCCAGCCGTAAGCACCTGCGTTCCGTCACTGCCATCACGGTAGCGCCCTGCGCTGACAATGGAGAGTTTTTCGCGCAGATTGCAGACATCCTCCTGCAGTTGAATGCGCTCCATCAGTACTTTGGCCATTTCTTCGCGAGTGAAACGCGTCCGCTTGGAGAAAGGAGTCTCGTTCTGTGCAGGGTAATTGGAATTTGCCACACTTCAAACTTTGACTTAAGTCATATATAGCCTTCGGGCCAATCGAAACATGAGAAATAGGTTTTAATGAGCAATGAAAGGAGGAAGCACTTAAACAAGAGAGGAGGCAAGCCTGGAGAGAACGAAATAAATTGCGGAAAGATTTGGACGCTAGTGATGAAACAAACGCTACCTTTATGCTAACACCAAACCAGTTAAAGAGAGATTACTGATTGGATGCACAAAAAAGCACCTATAAATGAAAGACAGAAAGAGAACATTAACCGCAATAGGTAATTATGCATGAATTCAGCTTTCGAATTCTGGCTAGGCCTTTCCAATAATAATTACTAGAGAACAGGACCAAAGCTGGTAATATAAAACTAGGGCACAATCAACCCCACTGATTATTTAAAAGAAGGAAGTACACACATACCAACACCAACTGCTTTTGCGCATCCTGGGCTTCAGCAAGTTCCCTTTTCAATCGAGTATTGTCCTCTTCCAGCTGCTTGATGTGTAAAAGCATGCTGGAACGAGCTATTTGCATCTGGCTCAGTGTCTCCTTCAATTCTATTTTCTCGCTATGAAGGTAGAAAAAAGACTTATTAACATCACTCATCCGCATTCCAGTGACCAAACCGAAGCTCACAAGGACACATTTACCTTTACTTTGAATGGCTGGATACGAGAAAAGGCGCTTACCTGTTTAATTCCTCCGTGTTTGTCAGGAGATCGTTGATAACAATTTTGAGGGCGTTACTGCGAAATAGGAGAAGATGCTATAAGGATAGAAAACAAACATGATGACAAATGGAGTCAATTGGAACTCACTTAGTCTTCTCTAGTTCATTGAAATCGTTCACCAATTTGCTCACCTCCTTACTGGCATCTAAGGAAGGGAGAAATGGTGCTAATACCCAAAACTTAAAATTACCACATATATTACAGGAGAAAGATTTAAAAATCGGAATTTAAAACGAAGGCTAGGTAGCCTAAAATACTCACTAAATTCTTTGGTGTTGTTGTCCTTTAGAAGTGACGGTAGAGAAGTGTCTGCAAAATATGTCGGAATTTATAAGCAATAAAAAAATATTTACCTATTTGAAAAAGCACCCACCAGCCTCCTCCGAATTAGAGTTGTCATCATAGTTCTCGTCTGCTGAGAGTCTAAATTAAGAAAAAAATGCAAAGGGGTTAAGCGTTAGCCAAAATTAAACCAATATTTGCGTCGCAAGGGTTCTATAATGGAACACGTATTCAATACAGTTTGTACCTGCAATTAAACTGGACTGTAGGACATTGAAAAGATAGATTGAACAAACGAGTGAATATCAATACAGAAAGGATCGAAGGTGGCCTATTTGCCGTCATTTATTAAAAGACCAATTTTCTTCAGTCTATGACCACTGTAAATTTCTAAATGTTCACTTGTTACTGTTCCGTAATCGCCTTATAGGGTTGACGCGTTCTTAAACTGGATCCTGTTCATGCCTGAAACCAAGCACTCAGCTTAGAATAACGATATTGTGACTAATGAATGCATACTTTGATGTTTTGATAAAGCTTCAGTGGTTTGAAATTTAAAAATGGTTAGGAAACTAGAAGAATCGGAGATACGGGGACTCAAGATGATAAAGTAGCTTTTGATAGCGACACGATTAGGTAAACAACCCAAAGCAAAGATCAGTAACACAGCGTTGCTACTAATCAGGCTACATAAATGAGCTCGACTTAAGATCAGCTCTTAAAAAATCGCTGGAGCACCAAGCACCATGAATTAAACTTTTCACTTTACTAGTAAAACTTCGTTCCTGGATGTTTCTACTCCAAAAAAGGGGTAATTAATTTAATAATCCATCACAACAAAGCATCCCCGCGTCGAACGAACTCACTTTGAAAATGGCGAACCGTCAGCATCCAGAGCAATTTCGGGAATGATATCTTCAGAGTCATGGTGCGTTTGATGTTGAATGCCTTCAAGAAGCACAAAACTAAAGCTAAGAATTTTGGAATCCAGTGAGAGATCGAGCAAATGTTAGGAGCCAATTACCCCAATCATAGGGCGAATCACCCTTGTGAGATATAAACATAAGCGGATTAACGGCGCCGACTGCAGTGGTGGTGGACGAACATGCCTCAGGTTCAGAGGAATGCACCTTGAACTTAGTCGATGAGGAAGTTGGAATATTGTCACCATCTGCCGCGGAGGTACGAAGACGCTCTGTCAATTCGACGTGAGCTCGAAACAGCTCGCCGTAGCGTTGTCGCAGATTTGCGTAGGTCGTCTGCAGCTCCCTATCCCTTTCCTCGAGTCGTGAAACTATAGAGAATTTAAAAATAATAAGAAACTTACTATGATCGCTTGCATTCTTTAGTTTCATTTCAAGGAGCTTTTTGGTCGACGCAGACGAGGACTTCAGCTCTTCGATCACTTTATGTTTGTCCTGAAGTGCATCCTCAAGATCAAAGACGCGCTGGGGCGCAAAATATTAGCCGAACTTTTGCCTACCTCTCCCAGGATTTTCGATTCAGTTCTTTCAGTTTCATATTTTGTAATAAGGAGGGCGTGGTCATGCTTAAGTCTATCCAATTCGCCAATAATTCTATCCCTTTGCTTATAAACGTCATGTAGGGTGTCCATGGCCCTTGCCACAAGTGATCCAAGTGTAAGAAATGAGTCTTTACCAAACTCTTCAACAATCTTTTCGAACTCCGCACAGACATCAAGAGACAAGTTATGTAGGTTGACATCATTCTCATTGCTAAAGTGACTGCTAATCAAGTCTGCCTCTAAGAATTCCTGGCTCTCTGACATTTTCACCGCAATGAAGCAAAATGGTGTACTAACGTTCCAGCTTAACAATATAAGATGGGCAGTAAGGCATAAATCAGAACGAATGCAAGGGCAATCATGAATGGTGAAACCAAGAAATGCGGGCGGCAATTGGTAATTTATAACAATAGTTAAATTTTCTAGTAATGTTATCGTAAAAATTTTGAAAGAAGAATAATGTACAAGTAGTAGTAATATAAAATCATCTTTGATCTCGGAAGTTTTAGAACTTGTTAACTTTGCAACTCTATTACTCTAAATTCTGCCACTTAATAGTACTACAATAAAAACCTGCGTTGTTTTAGGTTAAAGTTTTTTTGCAAAGGCTAAATTTTGCTCTGATTGGCAGCCGACACAAACGTTTGAGAAATTTCTGCTTCTATTTTTGTGTACTGGGGTTCGATAATACTCGATAGGGCTGCGTGCCAAATTTCGTCTTCACTATCGCCTTTATTAATTTTACGCGTGCATATGTACTTGTACAGAATCAGTTGTACCTGGGCTTCCAAAGACAAAAAATACTGTAAAAAGCATGCACTAACAATGCACAGAAAGGTTGGGAGTTAACTAATTAACCAAAGACCCCGTTGCACAGTAGATTTGTAGTCTAAGCGCTTAAAATGATTAAATATTTTAGCTAAAATGCCCTCTTGAGTGTCGTTTTTGGCACTTTTTCCTTGTCACCTACCCGTGTCGGCCATTGAATATTACCCAAGGATTCGAAAATCCAGTCGCCAACCGGTAACGTGGGCCATTGAATTTTGCTGCGCTTGCAAAGATTTTTGATTCTGCCGTTGCCAGTATATCTTACCAATTACAATGTAATTGTAGTCTTGTTCTAATTGTAGGCTGTATTTAAATGGGGAAAATGCACTTTCTTCATGGTACTCTATACCAGACAGTGCTCCATCACGAGAGCAATTCGCATATAAATCTTTGGCCGAAGGTAATTTAGACTGAAGAGCAAAGCTTTTAACACGCAACAAGATCTTAAGTGTATCTCATGCATTCCTGACTTTAGCTTTGCTCTCATATTAACAAACCTTAGACCTTTGTTTGCCTTGTTTCCATTTAGATAGCACAGACTTGAAGGAGACATTGCATTTTTTACCTAATTAACCCTTTTGTGCAGGAGCTATGGATATCTTCATGATAGAGTTCTGGCTTCCCATCGGTTTTCAGTGGCATTCTTGTGGGGCATGAAAATGGAGTAGTTGCCAAATACAGATGAGAGTTTTTATTCTTTTGCTCAAAGTAGCCAAATAGCCGTCTGTTTACAGCGGATGCCTTACTTTTGTAACTTATAAATATGGCATAGGATAGCTGTATATTTGGACTAGCTTTACTTCCCACTACAACCATTGCTGTGTCAAGAGTCCTCCCTGGAGTTTCACCAAGTCAGGGTTCTGTAAGAAAAGTGTACTATCATTTGCAGAAGAATTAAAGGACTGCCAGTATGATGCATAGGCCAGGCTAGGCGCGGACTCACAGGCTCCATGGTTAATCACAGTAGCCAATCACTTCATACTAATAGTGTGCAGAAGCCTCGAGACACTACTGCCATGGCCCAAAGGCAATAGCCCAAGACCGATATGCACATCTGAGAAATAAAGTAAAATCTGCTAGATGCCTGATGCATTTCACTAAAATGTAAACTCGCAGGTGACAGTGAAACATCACTGAAGTGTGATGTAATACTTATGGTGTTCTAATATTCCATTTAGAGAGGAGGCGGGGATACGAATCGAACCTCATGACAGAAGAGGCGACGTCTTGCAAGCCTGAGAGCGGTTACGTTTCCACATCCCCTTGAACTCTGTACTAGTTTTCCCATTTTACTATCCCCAATAAATATGTCAAAATCAAATTAACCTGGATGTTCCAAGAGTACGAGGAACATGGAAGAGGGGACCTACGAACCTCGTACCATAGTGCTGTCTGCAAAATTAAAGTGAAGTGCTTGATTTGTTGTTGAGCGATCTTCAGTACTTTGAGGCTCACACAGATGCCGTTATCGAATTCCTCCTAAAAATTGATAGACTTGTTTAAAGGATAAATAGTTACTTTTAAGTGCAAAAGCATTTGCGTATGATAACTTACAGGGTTTGCCACTCTGCAACGCCTTCAGTTATTGATTAAAGGGACAATAAGGTACACTAGTACGAGTTAGATTAATCATTAACGAGCAGAAGGGCTGAGCTACTATGAGAAAGACCGAATGGGGATGCCATGCAGTAAGAGTATAAATTATGGTATTTACATTTCAAAAACTAACCTCTTGGTCAAACCAATTGCTAGGCCACAAGTGCATTCCTCACGATAGTAGACGCTGGGGGAAACAGGGTCGTTCAGGGGAAAAAGGAATTCAAAGAAGATTTGTGGATCTACTACTCTACTATTCTCTTGCACGTGGTTCATATTTTTGTGCTTTTTACTTATCTGTTATGGTTCTGCTAAGCTAAGAGAGAGGCAAAATAGCAGCACAATTTACGCACCAATTTTAGTGTCGTAGCGAGCACCGTAATGAAAACTATGCTTTACACATGGCAAGAGCAGCTTGACTTGTATTATAACTTACAAAAATATCAGATTTTAGAATTTGTTAAATAATATTTTGCATGAACATCCTAGTTAAAAATTCTGCAGAATTATGCATTCATGGCAAATTCTCCCTAAGAGCTCGTAATCAGCCATGAAAATAGGAATAGCTACCACTGCGAATTGCGCTCGTCTGCAACACTCATTGATGTAGTGCGTGGAGCTTTTTTCTGTGATTATAGTAAGCCACATCTATGAGGAGGTCTTCGGTACAGGCGTGACTGAAAATGCGGCATGGTTAAAATTGCGATTACACTAGTATAAAACCATTTCAAATAACCATTTTTGACAAGTCTTATCAAATTTCAATGAAATGAGTGCCATTTTTATAAGCAAGTTGAGGCTCGAGTGGCTTACTTTCATTGCCTATTTCGAAATTATAATCGAGTAGAAGCTCCTCGCTCACTCCGATTAGCCGTTCCCTAAAAATAAGACCGTTTTGGTAAGACTGATTTGCATTCTTCGTAAATATTTTAAGCATTCAATAATAATGCACTTATATTTTTTAAAATTAAGCGAGGAACTACCATCAGCTTTAAGCCACCCAGTAGGAGGAGGCCTTTTTGGCTTCGTGTTCCTGGATTAGCATAACTTACTATGGGTTCCGGACAGTCATCATTGAGTTACCGAACAGCGTTTGTTGAGCTAATAAATAAGACGCAGGTACACTTTACCCGTTAAAACTAGCTATTAGCCTATTAATGCCTATAACGATGAGTTCTGGGACCAGTTTTGGTGCGGAGGTCCTACCCGTATCAGTGATATGTTTGCTTCGGTTCCAGGTAGTGAGATTAGAACTCTAAGGGAGGAGTCCCCGGGGAATCTAGCTACACTTTGTTACAAAGCTGTTGAGCGCCTAGCTCAGCTCGCTGAAACCTCTTTCCTGACTACACAGGACCAACAGATCGGTATGGCTCCCATTTGATAATCGCTGTTGCTTGTAGCTATCAACTGTGTTAGGCTTCTCACTCGCATTATTCCATACATTTTTGAAGTTCCAGAATGGCGTCCGTTCTTTTGGTCAGTCTTGCCCGCACAACCGGACCCCAATCCCGATACCGTATATTTCCTTTTGTTGGCAAAAGTTAATCATTTTGTTTTTAGGCTGATAGTGTCCCCTTAGCACAAACCCTGGTTTCCTCACTCTGCGTAAGTTGATCCAAAGCTTCAAAACTGCAACTTTAGGATCTCCTTTTTTGCCCGGACTTCACTGTTCACTCTCTTACCAAATCCGGTCCGGTACGTTAAATAGTTGAAATAATCGTCGCCATAGGAAAATGCTGAAGATATACACACCATAGATAGTTGTGAGTATATTTGGGAGGCAGGTGTCGGTTTTGCCCAGTCACCTCCACAAAACGCTCAACACGATGCCAACCGCACAGAAATAATTCGTCTCCTCCTTGTCTGTTTCTCCGAGACCATGTACCTTACTCAAGCTGAGGCGCGCAGTGAAATTAACAAGTGGATCGCTTTTTTCTCCGGCCCCGAAAATCGACACGTTCTTCCCCTCTTCACCTCCCTTCTCAACGTCGTCTGTGCCTACAATCCCGCCTCCTCTTCCCTTCCCTATAATCATCTCATGTTCACGGACTCCCGAGAGCCGCTTGTGGAGGCAGCTCTACAGATGCTCTGTGTTATCTTGGAAGCCGACACCAGTAATCTTGATGGTGGAAAGACTCTGTCCGATTCCACCACCTCTAACGGCAAAGGAAGCAATCTCTTCCTCAACTACATGTCTCGAATTCATCGAGACGAGGTATGCTTATGTGCGTCTACCTAGTTTTCACATTTCCTTTAGGATTTCTCCTTTGTCCTCGATGGAATAACGCGGCTGTTGAACAACCCTCTGACCCAGACATACCTCCCAGGCTCAGCAAAGAAGGTGCAGATGCATCAGGAGCTGCTCATTCTCTTCTGGCGCATCTGTGACATCAACAAGAAGTTCATGTACTACGTACTCAAATCAAGTCGTGTGCTGGACGTCCTTGTGCCCATTCTTTACTATCTTAACGAGGCCAGAAAAGATAAATGCAAGTAGTCATTGTCATCAACATTTAGCGGGAAGCTATCCTTGCAAATTTATTGAGTCCCCTAGTTCTAATATCTATTATGCTTTCTGTCTTTATCATCCAGTAATTGCACATTTTAGGTTCCGCAAGGAGGGTAGAGGATTTCAGTTTATTCATCTCCAATTAACATCGAGCTTTGGGTGTTCATAAGATCCGTTTTTAAAGATGTTCCGGTAACTTCTCTTCCAATTATACGCTTGAATTTGCAAGGTTCATTTTGCTACGGTGTAAGAGGTCCGTTTAATCTAAATCATGATTTTCAAATCCGCAAAAAAGACGGCCGAATGTTAGGTCGTGTAAACTGCACATTTTGCCGGCCTAGGTGTCCACTGCTACATTTTTACACATACCATCGTTTAGCTAATGTCTGCTAATCAACTTTGATATAAATTATTATTCAGCTTGATTTAATCATCTTAGAGCAGACCGCCTCTCTTGGAACTCAACGTGAGTTGTTTCCAACACTTTAAATAGTTATGGGAGTTTGTGTTTTTATCGTTACCACCAAGAAATTTTAAACCCATGCAGTTTTCAATTGTGTTGGGCATCAAGTGCCCATGCAGAATCAGCCGTTTAACTCTCTGGAGGCCTGTAAGAATGACTCCCGTGGCTGTGGGTAGGTATCTACCAATGTCAGAATTCTTGTTGATAGACGTATAGCAGTTTTTGAACCAGTTACTCCCCAATCATTCAAACACCTTACCGGTGAGGAGTGGGAGTGGTGTTGCTGCTCCGTATCTTGATTGAATTCACCTATAGGTATCTACTTATTCCTTATTCTGTAGGTACGTATAGCCATTTTTCGAGTTGACAAGAATCTTTGTTCTTCACCACGCTTCGTTAAATGTGCACATACACGCACTACTCCTATAGCCCGCCATCTTGATTGACGGTATGTGGACTGAGCCGGTTGTTAGTACCCGCAATGGACCTTACTCGACACCTATTGCTGCGTACAGTGCCGCCATGGTACCATTCTTTTTCATGTCAGCGAAATCAGAAGTCAGTTTGATTCGAACGTTCCTAGTACATTTTCACTCCTAGAGCGGAGCGGGTAATTACTTCAGAATTATTAATTGCCATAAATTACTTATCGTATTTTTCTTGTCTTGTTTCATCAGGCTTTGATAATTAGGCTCAGCGTTCTACGATTTTTCCGCTTTTCCCTTCACTGTCAATTATTGAAACGCCATGTGCGATTACTCATACTATGGTGATTTTATGCTGGCAGGTTTTATTAGAGAAAGAGACAATCACGTAGGCGTTTACTAACGTTTGTCCTATTGATGTCTTTCACTCCCAATGCCCGTATTGGTCATCCATCTTTAGGATGTTCTTCGCTCAACATGACTTATTTTATAGGTAATAAGATACCTACACATAAATACTCTGCATCATTTCGATTCTCACGTGTGATTATCTAACATTTGTCCACCAGCATCTAATGAAGGTCAGAAATGACAACCATACGCAAACATTGATTGTTGTTGAAAACCGTTCCCTCTGGTCATTGTTTCGTTTATTTTCTCTCCTAGGTCATAAATTCCGTCCAAAACTTCCGTCGGTAACATATTCTTCTCATATGCATTCAATTCTTGGGTCGTAATGCCTACTGCTTATCAGATTAGTCGTACAATCTGAAGACCGCGTGTGAATGCATAACTTTTGATAGTCCTTTTATTAATTCTATTGACTAGCCGTACCTGAGGAATTCATTTGTGAAATTTGCTTTTCAATTTTTAAGATTCTTATGCATTACTGGTTTTGGTCTTTAAAGTCGTTCCGTAATGCAGTTTTATCTCAGTGTTCTTCCTTTAATCCTGCCTTGTGACAACTTATGCCGATTAGGTCCTCGGCAGAATTAAGGCCGCTTGCACATACAGCTTCCGTTTTTAATATTTGGTAATTCCGATTATACTAGTCTAGAGTAAGAGTGCTCAATTTTAACCTCAGTATTTGCGACTTCTTTTCCTTTTTAATTACGAAACCAGTCCCTAATATCGCGAGCCGTCGTTTGTCCAAAACGTTTTTTTCTTCATCTGCTAGTGTTTAAACCCTCTTAATTGTCATTTGCCTTGTTGCTGATTATTCAATAATTGAATAATTATTACTACGACAACTTAGTTCATTTTTACAGTAATGTTTGCATTCATTCACTTTCTTCCGTTTCCGCAGCTCAACTTGGTTTGATGCACATTGGTGTGTTCATCATCCTCCTACTGAGTGGGGAACGCAACTTCGGGGTCCGCCTGAACAAGCCTTATTCCAATCGAACTTCATTTGACATCACAGTCTTTACTGGAAATCATGCTGATCTCCTCATCATCGTAAGCTTATTATAATTTTATTCCCGAGGCGAGATAAGGATTCTCTTCCGTGCTATTCCCCTTCTTCAACCCAGAGATGCAGGATTTTTAATCCCTGTCAGCTTTGACATTTGTCTCTCAGTCGTAAAGTGAATTACCTCCAGCAGAGTCCTTGGACTTTGGAAATGAGCATGCTTTTTGACCTGAGTTACTGCTAGAAGTATCGTATTACTTGGGTCCCTAAGCTATTTATTTGAGCATGAATGCGTGTACCTTCATCTCTTTGCCTACTACCCTTTTTTTCGGTGGATTGAATGCACCAGAATTCCCCAGGTGGTAAAATGAATTAAATGAGACCTTCTGTTTGGTTTCTGGTGTGGGATTTTGACGAAATCTATTTATTCATCACAATCCGACGAATTTCTTTAGAAAAATTAATAACCTTCCACTCTACCCACATTCTATCCATTGGCAGTAAGAGTTTCATTAAAATGCGTACACATAAAACTATGACTTTCCTCCCTTTTATCAGTCTAGTTTGTCGTTCTTTTCCCAGGTTTTCCACAAGATTATCACCACCGGTCACCAGTGCCTGCAGCCCCTCTTCGATTGCCTTATCACGATTATCGACAATGGTGGGTTGTTTCTACTTTATGTGCATTGTGGTGCTCTGTGTCCTCTCCAAGGACAAGGAGTAGCTTGTTGCTGGAGCGCAGAGGGACCGGGAGTCCATCAAGTTGGTATTGGGACTCACAGTTAAATGTATGCTTACACAATGCTTTCCTCGATCACGCGTCTATATCGGTCGTCACCATGTAGTGGGTTTTCTAGGGGCCATTTGTGAGCCCAGGACAGAGGGCACACGTTGATCTGAGAGGCGATAAAGCATTTAAATCCACTGTCAATGATAAATCTCTTCGTTTTTGGCAGTTCCCATTCATCTGCTATTCCGTCCTCTTTGTAAGCTAGCTTTTGAGGACCACTGCCTTTCAGTGTAATAGAATAGTTTAGTAATGGCATGCAGACGTAGTAGTAAGCTGTGAACATAAGTGTGTTCTGTGACTGGTGGTTAAACTCAGCCAGCTAATTATTTAGACAAATTTCGTCTTACTATCGTATGTTGCCGGCATCCTTCCTCTTCCCCACCCCAGGCAAGAAACGGAAGACATTCACACGAATACAAGGCCTTGCTATCAGGAGACCCAAAATTCATTCTTGTGGTTCGTTTACTAGCTGCTTTACTCTGGGTGCCAATAAGTTTGTGTGTGAGCGCTTATTTGGGACTATAAATGTGATGAAAAAGTGCCAAGAGTGGTGTAAGTTGATTAGCCGACTTGATGAATAGGTCTTGCATAAACTTTGCCAAATGCACTTTCCATTGATTTCGAATCTGAGCTGATAGCCCGAAACCAACTGTGCGTGGCGGGGGAGAACGTGGCCGGTAGTGAAAGCGGCCAATGAGAAACATGAGTCAATGATTTTCGAGTGTCCATTTGAGATAGCAGTTTAACATTGAAAACCAGTAGAATGGAGGATTGCATGCTGAAAAATTAGTTCTAAGGTTTGCATGAGGGCTTAGCTCTGGTAAAGCAGCCAATCGCAGATAGAGCTCTCAGCGACTGCCTCTACACTGACATTTCTTCTGCCGTTATTGTAGTGTCACCCTACGTGAAGAGCTTATCAATGGTCTCGGCCTCCAAATTGATGCATCTAATGGAAGCATTCAGCCAACCTTGGTTCCTCTTCTCATCTCCCAACAACTATCAACTGGTGCTTTTCCTTCTGGAAATCTTCAACAACGTGATCCAGTATCAATTTGATGGTGAGTTTTACCATATTTTCATGGTTAAACCGGTGGGCTGAAGCTGCCGTTTCTGCAGTCAAATATTGTGGGTGTTATAGCGCCCGCTTCATTTCTTGTGCCTTTGTAAGGTCTTCCAATGTAGAAATATCTCGTTGACATACAGGTGGAGTTGGAGGCAATTATCCTTTACAGTTAATATCGCAATTAAGGCACACCATCTCTTTTGGACGTTGTCGTCGGCACTTCCACCAGCTACCCTTCTGGTGCAGCTACCGAGATGTGAGTGTATTACAATCATGCGGGAAACAGAGGAGATCACAAGATAATTTTGAATGGGAATGGCATTGTGAGATTTGATTATTGTGTGTGCTTTTAAAGGCTGAACGATGCTCTACAGCCTCCCTATTTCGTACTTGGAAAGTTTCGGAAATGGTTTCTATGGGCGGTGGATGTCGTGAGGCGAAGCGTTGATCATGCGGAGCATATGCATATTGACTGTACCTCTGTACCTCGTTTACAGGCAACTCTTGTCTAGTCTACTCCATCATCCGCAAACGTCAGGTCTTCTACCAGCTGGCTAACTTACCCACTACCGACGAGGAGATCCGCGAAGTCCTCGCCAAACACAGCGGACTGCATCGACGTTTTGAAGCGCCACCAGACACCGATGAAGAGGACGAAGTGGAAGATCGAACGGAGGAAGACGGTGAAGGGGAAGGTGAGGGCAACGAAGACGTTTTCAAGAAAGAAGCAAAGGAGGAAGGCTTAGATTTCGTGTCTACGGACGTGGATCAATTCTCTCAAGCTGCATCGTTGATCAACGACAAGATGGACGAGGTTAAAAATGAGAAGGGGAACGGGGTAGAAAGCGAGACGAAAAACGGTGGTGCTGTTGTAGTATGTCTCAACTTTATTGAAAGTTTTTTGTAACAGTGTAGGAAGTAGTCATAAGTCAGTGCAGCTTCTTGTGCCTCCTGCTGACTGATGTTGGATATGCTGCAGGCGCAAGGCGACTCAGAGGAAATCGCGAGGCAGATGTCAGCTTTGGATGGACTGCAGACAAGTCTGACGGACATACCAAGCCTTACTAGTATGACTGACAGTCAGCCGGTGAACGCCGCGCACTCTAGTGACTACCACCTCCATTCTTACGAGGGGGAGGCGCCTTCCACGTGCAGTCACATACCGGCGGCTGCTTCTGACTCTACCACTGGAAGCAGCACTGGAGAAGCTGTCGAAAGTCGTCAATTGGAGTGGAAAAGTGGGGATGAAGCGAGCAAAGAGGAGGTGGCGAAGGGGACGACGAAGACGATGCTAGAAAGGGAAAGGACAGGGGGAAGCGATGGAAATTCGCGTCGTCGGCTGACCCCTCTCACTGTTCCTTGGCGCCCCACGGCGCGTTGGGTTGGCAGCTGGCACGAGAAGCTGCCACTACAGACAATCATGCGACTCTTGCAGGTTCTCGTACCTCAAGTGGAGAAGATATGCATTGAAAAGTGAGTTTGTTCTCAAGCTGTTAATACAAATGGAATTAGATGTGGGAACCCCTAATGCTTAAATTGATCATAAGCGAGGTGTCATGACCATAAACACGCATTTGCACTGTGTCAAGTACTACTGTTAGATGTCTGTTAGGCACTGCTAGATATCTCGGTTAAATATTTACTTGCTCCAAGTAAAGAGTAAGGTGTAAATTTGTCGTAACCAAAACTCGCTTGAAATCATTTAATGCAATGTCCCAAAATCGGTAGGCTGGGTCACAACACGTAAATACACACCCCGAGAATTTATTAAATGAATGAGGCAACTTTAACTTTTCACTTGCCTGCTGTTTCTATAGGTCCCTGAAGGATGAGCCAGAAATCCTCAAATTTCTGCAGAATGGCACCCTGGTTGGTCTGCTGCCAGTGCCGCACCCGATTTTGATTAGAAAGTACCAGTCCAACATGGGAACCACTGTCTGGTTTCGCACTTACCTATGGGGAGTGGTCTACCTCAGGTCTGTCGCTTCGTTAGTCCACTAATATGTCCCCCCACCTTTACCCATCTATCCGTGTGAATGGCTTTGTCTACTGTTCTGTCTCTGTCTGTTTTTTTGCCCTTTCACAATCCCAGTCATCTTCTCCATCGCTATCTTTTTGCAGAAATTCGGATCCACCCATCTGGTTTGACACCAACGTTCGTCTGTTCGAGGTGCAGCGAACCTAGCTGCTTTTTTTTTCATCTCCCTTCGCCTCCGCCTCCGTCTCTTCCTGTCTACAGTTCGTGCGCGTACGTCACATTACCCTCTGAATCGCATCGCATCGCATTGCGTCAACGTAATTCCAATTATCTCAAGATTTCCAAAAATGCTTCGTATATCTTTCTCCTGTCCTCCCCCTTCTCATATAGTGGTTATTTACTTGTTTATTCACCAAACATTGTGACCAGTTTGCCCTCTTCGTTGCTGCGTGAAAGTGACTGTGCCTCGTGTGCTCCTCATATCACCTCTGTAATTCTTCTTTCTGTGATACATTTACTCCTCCGGACTTTCCCTTCATTTGGATTGGCTGAGGCACAAATGTGCTAGCTGGTGTACATGAAACAAGAGTGTCTATTTCAATTGTGCTTAATAACTTTCAGTTGGAGTAATAATGCATATGAGAAGTGGAGAAGCAAGATGTGAGGCGAGGAGAAGAGGGTTATCACCTCTGGCTCCTGATTGAAAGCTACCCTTGCAGTAGGTAAAGAAGCTTGATGGCTGGTTTGTAACTAGTCTTGTGGTTGTCTTTTGATAAGTGACTTGCCTAGCGTGTGCAGTCGTCTCATTTATCTCTGATATTTTGGTGAAAGGAAAGAAGATGCGTAAACGACTAGTGCGAATTCCACTCTATTGGGAATGGGTTTTGAAAGCAATACATGCTGATGCGAAGCAATGATCTCTGTAATATTCGCGGATAAGACGGTTGAAGCAGAGACGCTGGGGAGCAATAATGGGATTGTGCAGTGGTGCGTGTGTGTGTGCTATGACGCAGGTCCACGGCGGGTCTGTATTCAATTGGAGGGAGAGGATTAATCGCGACTTATGTAGTTCGAGGTACATCCAAACACACATGACAGGGATATGGGCAATGGGTTAACTTGCGCGGTGTTGCTGCGTCCCAGCACATCTCACCAACACCCAAAATAGTGTCGCATATTCCAAGCTTGCAGTGGGCCAGAGAGGAACTCACACCATCAATAGTATGAAGGGCTGTTGTAGTGGAAAGTTAATTTGCGGTAAATGGAACTTCAATGTTAACGCGCACGGCTACAGGACCTCGATCCTCCGCCCTTTTTGAATAACTGCCTACCGTACCGCATCTGATTGGAATGGCTTAAGATGGAAAAACCATTCAGATGTACAATAAGTTGTGGAGAACGTGGGCTTCGCTACCACAATCTAGCTTAGGAGACACAAGTTTGTCCACGAAATGCACCTGCGAATCGGTCAATTCAGGTTACCATTAATTGAAAGCACCCTCAGTCGATTTACTCCACTTACACACCATGCAATTTACTTTATGTTACACCACATTACTTCCTGTTCATTTATCTTGCGCAACCTTAGGATCATTTCATTGAATTTCAATGAATGCCACTTCAGGGCAGGATATGAAGGTGAAGGTGTCACTACTTCTACGCATCTCGTGCATATCCATGAATTATAAAACCGTCCAGTTGGACACTAGTGCGACTCTCGACATGAAACCCTAGGCGAAATTTCATCTTATGCGCAAAGTGTCACTTGATTTGTTTGAGTATACGGACTTAAGAGAGTGATACTAATTCAACCGATCTTCAAAGGACTGGAAGCCTAGCACAGGAGAAAGGGCTATAATTGCACCAACGCATGCTCGGCTATTCGCATTTCTCATTCACTGCATCGCATTCTGTGTGCACATTCTACACGCAGACG